TTTTTCGATCTTGCTAGCTGGTTTCATTGACTAATTTTTTCGATCTTGATAGCTGGCTTCACAGACTAGTTTGTTCGATCTTGATAGTTGGATTCATAGACTAGTTTTTTTGATCTTGCTAGCTGGCTTCACAGACAAGCTTTTTCGATCTTGGTAGCTGGTTTCATAGACTAGATTTTTCGATCTTGATAGCTGGTTTCATAGACTAGTTTTTGCGATCTTGGTAGCTGGTTGCATAGACTCGTTTTTGCGATCTTGGTAGCTGGTTTCATAGACGAGGTTGTTCGATCTTGGTGGCTGGATTTCGATCTTGGTAGCTGGTTTCATAGACTAGCTTTTTCGATCTTGGTAGCTGGTTTCATAGACCAGTTTTTCGATCTTGGTAGCTGGTTTCATAGATCAGTTTTTCGATGTTGGTAACAGGTTTCATAGCCTAGTTTTTTGGATCTTGGTAGCTGGCTGGATAGACAAGCTTTTTCGATCTGGTTGGCTGGTTTCATAGACTAGTTTTTTCGATCTTGCTAGCTGGTTTCATAAACTAGTTTCTTCGATCTTGGTAACTGGTTTCATAGGCTAGTTTTTCGATCTTGGTAGCTGGTTTCATAGACTAGTTTGTTCGATCTTGGTAGCTGGTTTCATAGACTAGTTTTTTTGATCTTGGTAGCTGGTTTCATAGACTAATTTTTTCGATCTTGGTAGCTGCTGTCACGGCTGTAAAGGGTTCAATTGTAGGATTCAAGACTATTTGTTGCAAAGGCAGGATGTGGGAAGTGGGAAACAGTGTTGCCAATCGGTAGAGACAACGCAGCTCTCGCAAGTCAGTGCAATTTTTCAGCAGCCTGTTGCGGCCTTGCCCATGATCCATTATCCATCACTCTTCGTCGCTGCCGCCAGCGTCACCAGGCTCACTCGGCGAATCATCCAAGTTGTAACATTGACAGGGCGTGGAAGAGCATTGTCGCCAAATCTTGCTCTACCTGTTAATTACATCTTTAATCACCTGGACAACCACAATCTCAAGCTTAAGATGCGCTGGCCACCAAGACGCCGAAACAACTGCACACATTGAAGACCACGCAGTAAAATATCAAGCGGCAAAAGTTGCCCACCAGTCGCAAAGCCATGATGACAATCAAGCATGGGCCGTACCTGACACAAGAAATTTGTGCGTCGACCATCCATATAAAGCATAAAGAGAGGAAAACAGAACACCGAACGAAAGGACAGATCAGCACAGCGCACGCATTGTCGTCTCCAGCATCGTACAGTGCTTGAAATTTCGGATGCAGCTGCTCCATGGCTGGCTGCTATGTCTGGACAACACCCGATTTGCTTGGGCCACACTTGACGCGCCGAGGGTGACCTTCAAAAAACCATGGCCACAAGTGTTTGAGCAGCGTCAGATAGGCAGGCAGGCAAGATCTCCTCACAAACCCCATGCACAGGATTTTTACAAACGCGGCAACACCAGCCCAACATTTTGCAAGGCTGATGTGGCCGCCTCAGCTGCCTCCATCGTCCAACGGAAGCCAAGGTTGAAATGGGCTTCTCCGCTTTCCTGCTGGTTCAACCCAGCTACGAAGCATCTGAGCATGACTCATGTGCTCAGAGGGGTGCTCCTCTTCGCTCGGATGTTTGTTGACTGTTGTGCTTTCAGCGCCCTCGGCCTTCATGGAATGTCTCTCTGCAAGGAACATGGCATCACATGACTGGCTTTGACACACTGCACCTTTCCAGCTGGAGTACCTCCCGAAAAGCTTTCGCTTGCGCTGTCTGGCGACAGGAGGCTCGAACCGAAGCAGATTGAGAAGCCTAAGCTGTCAGCTGCCGAAATCAAGGGCCATTCGGCCAAAGCCTGCGGCTATCTGTTCCATGTCCAATCCGAGCCGCGGGAAGAAGCGGAGAAGTCTCCATGAGCAGCCTTACAATCAACTCGTGTCGGCTCCACTCCAACCCTTAGCATCTACCCTGGTCCATTTTGTCGATAGCTACGTCAAAGCACCGATGTCAGCTCTTTGCTACCCACATCGTCGGAGGCATGACAAGTTTAAAAAGCTTCAAGTCTAGGTTGAAGGAGCTCGGCTGTATTGGGGCTGCGTAGTTTGAGCGGGAGCTGCTGCCCAAGCGCAGCGAGCCGACAACCTGCCATTCGTCCGTCTTCGCCAGACTGTCCGGGCACCTCAGTGTTCTGCCCGCATTTCGTAATGAGAATGACCATGTCACCATGTTTCATCAAGCTGTTCAAGCTGTTATCCGTGATCATCATGAATAAGGGCCGAACAGCGCCGTGCCCCTGATGTCGGTTTCAAAAAAACCATGTTGAAACAACAACGCGAGAATATGATACCCGCGGACGGAAGCTGGGGCTGCGTCCGTGTTTGTTCTTCGGCTGTAGATTCTGCTTCACAAAGAACCTGGTTTCGGGGTCGAGCGACTTCATTGTGTGCAAGACAGAAGCCAAGACACCAGCCTCATCCGATGTAGAAGCACATGCCTGCCCAAGCATCAATCAGCTGTCAAAGATACCAATAGCTCAAGTTGAGGAACTGATGCACCTGGCAAGTCAGCGCCTCTCTTCCAGATCGCGGATCTTATCAATTGCGAAGGTCGCAAAGAGCTCTGCAGCAGCCTATTGCAGGAAACCGAAACTAATGGTAAACTGCATGTCCATCTGCATACGTTAACGAAGTGCAACTTCAGCAGCCGCCACTAACGTTGAAAGCCACTCTGCAGTCCAACCGCTGCCGTGAAAGCGCCATGCACCGAATCATGTAACACAGACTGCAGTCGGAGTCACGCTGGTCTGCTGGTTGACGTCGATCAACCAATCCATTGCAACAAGCGCCGAAACTCAAACTATCGCTGCCATTAATGTGTTGGTGAACGGCAGGACATGCTTGAGTTGTCCAAAGGAGTTGTCCAAATCAGGCTTTGAATGGCTTCGTAACACGTGGGTTTAGCTAGTTTAGTCTTTTCGGGTTTAGGAGCTCAGGGTTTCGGGGTAAAGGAATTAGGATAGAGGCTTGGAGATTCGTAGGCGTTAATTCATGGCATTCGTGAGGGTCTCTGTAAGAGTTCCTCTCAGGGTTCCGTCAAGGGCCCCGGTTTCGTCCTTGAGCGGCTGTAAGGTTTATGCATGTTAGCTGAAATTATCACTGTAAGGGTTTCCAGTAATTACTTAGGCCCTACATTAAGCCCCAAAGCCAATGGCACGTTTACGGTTCAGGATGCGATAGTTGAAGTGCAAAGAGTCTTTGTAAGGCAAACCAGTGTTCAAGGCCTGCGGTCTCAAGTGAAGGTGTTGTGTTCAAGTAAATCTGCGCTCAGGCTTGGAGCCTGATATCAGAACTGGGTTTGGGATGTGTTTTTGGGGCTTCTGGCCCCGGCGGCCTTAAATTGAAGCTCCGCAAAACTCTGATGTAGGAATGCCGAGCCAAGCCCGAAAAACCCTCAGCCCGGAATTCCGACGGGCACGACCATCCGGCACTACCTTCTTGCAGAAGAATTGTCTTCCAACATGGCTGCGTTCATCATGTTTCGCACACTACAACACACATGTTGGCAGTAGAAACCCAAAACTTCGAGCGGCTCAAGCGTAAGCCCCAAAACCGCCTCAGCTGCTTTCTGAAACCGGCGCGGGCCTAGCAGACCGCTCTGCACTGCACTGATAACCTCCTGCATGGTAGTTTCGGGTTCAGGGTTCATGGCTCAGGGTGCAGGGTTTTGGCCGCTGTTTGAGCAGGGCCTTTCGGCTTTCAAGACTTTTGCCACGCTGGCTGACACATGAACCGTGATCTTGAACCGTACCTAGACCCCAAAAGTATGCAGAATAATAGCCCCTTGTAGGTCTTGGGCCATTATTGTACCTACTCTTGGGGGTTTAGGTAAACCTCAATCCGAAATCCCCCAAACCCCGACCCTGCAGCCCTGAACTTGAGGCCCTCAAGCCTGTAGCTCTTTTGCCTTCAGCCCCGATCAGAATTAGATTTTGGGATGCTTCTCATAATGCTGCTTGAGGATAAGGAATATCATCCAGTAGTATAAAGCGCGAGATATGATATATGGTCTTGCTTTACTCGTATCTCCATACATAAACCTCTGTTTATGCACTCGCAAGTAACTAAAAAGAGCTCTACATATTCACCGAATCCCCTGAAACAAAATCGACCTCTCATCCGTTCCTAAACCGTCAACCAAGTGAGCGCCTGCAGCTTCCAGGCCAAGTGCACTGCCAGTGCCTCCAGGGCAGCAAAAGCTGCAGGCCAAGGGTTTAAGAGTTCAGATGGAATCTGGGGCACAAATTTTAGGGTGGCAGGGCTTGGGGTTTAGGACTTTGGCTTTAGGAGTCGTCAGCAGACGCATCGTCTCCTTGCTGGCTTTTCTTCTTCGGCATCCGTGCTCGCATCCACAATGACAGATATTGGCTGGAAGCCAGAAAGGGACTATCATGTTGCAGGGTTTGCGAGTTCCTAACATGATCCTTTCTATGACCCGAATCCTCACCCAACACACCGTTCTTGATACCCTGATGCAGCAGGTGAGCGTTTGGACATTGCTGTGCGCTGGTTGAGTGCGAGGGCCGCCCTTTTCAAAAGCTCAGTCTCTGTGTGGGGAGTTGTCAAAATTATGGTCCCTTTTGGGGTACCCTAAATAATAGGTGCCGTATTATAATAGGACCCAAAAAGGGACCATAATTTTGACAACCACCCGTGTGAAGCCTTTATATCGGCCATTGCCTCGTTCTTGTTGGACAGAGGCCGAGGACTTCTGGAATGGAACGGGATGGAAGTGGCTAGCAGCTAGCAGCTCTAGCTGCAGCCGTCCAAATCAATAGATGAGCAAGGTCATCTGATTTTTCATCTGTTTGATGCGTGCCTTCTCGGTTTGAAAATGGCGAATAAATATCCTTTGGTAGTAAGTCATAAGTACGAAAATACACATCGAACAAGCCAAAACTGTAACTTTCCTCGACGACATCCAGCCCAAGCCTGAAAATACCCCGTCTGCAAATCCGGTACCCCAGGATTTTTTTCAGCTCTACGTAGGGGATCCGACGGTGGTGGCGAAGACCACTCAGGCACACAGCATGACTCTCGGCTTGAATAGGCAGAGAGTGGTCGTGTCTGATGCGGCGTTCTAAGTCTATCTTTCCCTAACCCTCCAGGTACCTACTATATAGGGCCCTAGGGGCTCTAGTACCCTATATAGTAGGTACCTGGGGGGTTAGGGTTTATTTTCTGAAGTCAAAACGTTTCCGGGGTGTTTGCGAAAGAAAATGGACAAAGCCGTCCACACATCTTCGGTGAAGTGAAAACTCACCACCAAGGACCGATTCGCCTGAAGGATGTCGAGGAGGTTTTCGATTGTGACCCGGCAGCATCCCAAGTTGCGCTTGGCACACTCCTCCTTCAACACTTCGAAGGTGCTTGCACCTTTGGATCCATGCCTGGCCACAATCTGTCTTATAATTTAATCTCTGCATGTTCCAAAGGTTTTCGACCGGCGATACGATGCTCTGTTGCGTTGGCACGGCAAATGCCGCTTTGCTGCCGGTGAACCAATGAGGACAGTGACAGGTTGTAGATTGCAAGCCTGGTAATGCTTTGTCGGAAGCCTTGACATCGGCACGGACGGATTTATTTTTGCGCCGTCCGCTCTCCAAGCCGGCGATGTACACAGATAATTCTTTATTTCGGTGCAGGATGTCAATGTCGCCGAATTTCATGGGATTTGGCAAACCCAGCTCTACCATCTTCATATGCGCTGGGTACGAACCAACGATCAGAAACTCGAAAGTTTTCTATGTTGTCCGAGCTCTTCTGACAGCCTGAAACTGGTTGTAGTGTGCACCGACAAACTGGCAGACATCCTCAATGCTAACTTCGTGGTCCATGTGTCACCGTATCGCCATGTACCGGCACCGCTCTGGCAGGTGCTAGTAGATGACGGGGCTGTCTGAGAATCAATGCGGCAACTTGACCTCGAGCCGGATGCAAAGATTGTCAAGCATTCAGAAACGTCTTACCATAAGTCCCAAACTCCTCAGCAACTTCCACACGAGCCTACCCTAGTAAGTTCAGTTGACACAGGGTTCTCTGCGGGTCATGCCATGCCAGCACACAAGCTAGCGCCTTGAGAGACAGGTTGATGATCTGATTGATCCACTTGTGATAGTCCTGCCGGCGACGCGACTCTGAAGGGCTCTTGTCCGGCGGGGGTTTGAAAGACAACATGCCATTGAATAGCTCAATATTGCTGCGAATGCCGACCGTTTTGAAGTGCTCCCGGAGCTAGTCAGCATTTCAAACCCCTAAACCCTAAATGCTAGGCAGCATTTCAACTGAAACGAACATCGTCAAACGGGCTCCCGCCTTGGGCAAGAGCACCACCAACACTGGGGTGACCTGTAGCTGGAGTCGTCTGGTTTTTGGCTTCAGGGTTTGGGGTCTAGGGATGCTTTAAGGGCTCCTTTAGGGCTTAGGGTTTAGGGATGCTTTAAGGGCTCTTTGTCTTTTGGGGCTTCTGACTTCTGGTTTAGTTTTTGGGCTGCAGGGGTTGGGGGGTTCAGGGTCGGGCAGGAACCCCGGAAGCCTACAAGAACTCGAGCCCGCGGACGCCTGGAACTTCGCAGTTTCTACGGTAGGAGGGAAGGTGGGGCCCGCACGAAACCCCAAACCACTGCCAAACCACCCCAATGTAGGGGCCTTAATAATTAGAATAGGGTTTCGGGGCCCATGATACTATAATTACAATGAGGAGCCCGACAATACTATAGGTAATTATTTAGGCCCCTATATTAAACGTCTCCGTGACAGTAAGGCTCTGGCCACGATCGCCACGGGCTTCCGGAGGCGATCGGCCTGAGCATTGGTGGTTCTCATTAGGATATGGAAGGAACGGATATGCAAAAGCAGATTCCAGATTCTGCACAAAGTAGTGAATTTCTCGGAGATACCAGGTAACTCGGCAAAAAATCCACCGCCAATTCCCTACTCAGAAAGGCTTTTGGCTTTGCAGTATGGCTTGCAATGTCGGTCGCCTGCTAACGATTTGAGGAAGCAGGGGTTTAGGGAAATAACTACAAGACAGACACACAGCCACCTTGCCCAGCAGCCAGAAAGACGACAGACAGACAGACTCGACACCCCAAAAATATCTGAAATGTAAAAACTCACACCAGAAGAAGAGGACGCTGAAGCTTCGGTCCCACGCGATGGAACAGGCCAAGGCCACTGTCCAGGCCTCAGGGAGCAGTTTAAGATCCTACGGTGGTGCTGAATGTCTTGGAGCCTGAGGGTTTAGCTTCATTAGGGACGTGGGCTTTGACAAGCACTGTGTTTCCTGTCTTAGGTCTTAGGCTCTCTCTCTCTCTCTCTCTCTCTTTCTCTCTCTCTCTCTCTAAACCCTAAACCCTAAACCCTAAACCCTAAACCCTAAACCCTAAACCCTAAACCCTCTGCTTCTCCGAGGCGACT